GAATCGAAAGAGATTGGTGTCATCGTGTCTCGATGAGTGTACGCGGAGGAAGAAGCTTTCAAAAATGATCATAAAAGCCTTTTGCGCGTTGCGTCTACAGTAATCTAGGCTTCATAAGACAAGATGGCTTTGTACTCTGTAGTCTCTTTCTAGTTATGGATGAAATGACTAATAGGAAGTCGGAAGCAAAAGTATATGCCAACTTCAGGCGACCTACCACATATATGAAGTTGAAGATCGGGATCAGATAGGTGTTGGTGAGAGGGGTAGAATTAGATGTAAGGAAAATCAAGCTCGGATGTATTGTCATATACATTAACTGGAAGATGCCTGTAACGAATTGAGAATATATGAGGACTGACCGGGAACCTTCCTACAGTCTACGTTATTCTGACTTCTAGTTCATAGAGGAACACACCTGTACAGAAACTAGCCGACAACTTCTTGAACTCTCAACTTTACTGTTTGCTTTTCAACACGTTCAGAACCATTCCATTTGAAGTTTCATTTCGTTTTGAGTAGTTCAAACATCGATAACATGAGAAGTTACGAAGAACTTTGATCTAAAGTTTTTCTCTCAACCCCCGCATATGGCATTATCAATAGAGCATAACTTAGACATCCTGTTCGCACGCGACGAAATATTAAGAAGCTTATATCCTTTCAAGCCGTAACTTCCCAGCTTTTTTTCCTGAAGCTTGAAATGAGTAAGATAGTTAGAAACTGTGTTAATAGAAAGCTTGTAAAGTGGGAATTCAATTGAACCAAATCTCTCAGGAATCAGACTATCCGACGCGGAGAACGAAGCTTTCAAAATAAAATGGAAATCTTGCTCCATCCACGCGGTTCCGGACTTTGAAAGAATTGAAGTCACATATTCGACAGGTATGATTCGAAGTTGAACGAATAACAGGCATTAAAATGCTTTTGAAAGTTTATTATCCATATTAATTACAACTGGTAGACCAAAACGACACTTGTGAGTTGTCGCAGATTGAAACCTTCCTCGGCCAGGC